TGATGACTTTTAAAGTTTTAATATTTATGGAAAAAAGACGTCATGCTTATAATAAATAAAACCACGTTCTTATAAGAGAGAATGTGTTGCGTTGCAAAGCAGGACAATTTCGTAAAAGGTTAATTAATGTTTTCGACATTTAGAAAAAATGTTTTAATGGCAATCATTCATGCGCAAACACCTTTCGACATTGTTTAGAAATGCTATACACTATGCACAGGCGCGAGTCTACGTTTTAATGATTCATTGTGAATAATGGTCCGTAGCTATTGAATCCTAATCACACATGATAAGTACTTTATGTGATTCTGTAGTATAGCTCAGTAACAACATGGTTTGATGTTAAATGACAATTGTAAACTGGAGTTTGTAGTATACATAGATATGTTGTCATCATTGGGAATTCGACTCCGGTACTGATACAAACCGGGAATACTCGGGGATTCTGTTAGATACTTTAGTTACTTTAATGAAAGCCAAGCTTTTTCTACTGTTTTTTATTTTTGTGCTATTTCCCAAAAGCCTATTAGATCACTTGCCTTCTTTGTTAGCTAAAGATATTAATAAAATCGGTATTAGGGTAGTACAACCACGTTTAGCAGTCATTGGAAAGTTTGGTTCGAATTTTAAAATAAATCGATTACGTACAATGCGAGTGCGAATCCCACCGGATATTAATTTGGTTTGACAAGTTAATCTATTAATTGAATATAAAACTGATGAAACATGTTGTATTTACCTATTGCCCGTTTTCGTAGAAGTCGCCCCTAGTCTGTCGCCTTAATATTTAGGAATTGTCTATTATAAAAACGCATTCCACCAATGACTAGGAACTACCTAATGACATGGGCAAATTTTATGACATGCGAGCAGCGCTTTGCTCTACGCATTTGCGTAATATTACAGATAACAAATGCGTCAACGGATAAAAGAAAAAATGTGTATTTGGAATTAAAATCTACTTATGCTGTTCGTAAAATTAGGCGTTTCATAATTAGGCTACGCCTTGTTCTTGGTTAGTAAAAACGGGTGTAAGTTTCCCATTGATCATTCATATTTTACGCATTTTCTTCATTGCATCCGAGAGTGTGGCAATGTTTAAAAAGGTTGTTTTTACTAATTTATGAACTGATTGTACCTATATATTTATTTAAGCCCTATATGCTAACGAAAGCGTGATTTTTTTTTAAAACAGAAAAAGTCGTGCTTCGTTTTTGATGTGTTCGGGAATAATGACGAACTAGTGTTTTTTTAATGAATTTGTCGATAATATTATTGACATAGATATTATTATTAAATTATATCTATTACTATAGGCTTAATATACATAAAAAATATGATAAGTAAGGTAGAAAATGTTAGTTAACACAATTGTTAGTTGGTAGAAAATGTGAAACTTACCTTTTACCATCCATAGTACCTTTACATTATCGATAAAGATACAGTACCGTAAGTATTTTAGCTAATAAAGTATTATTATTATTGAAAGTGATCATATATTATTACTGGTCATCGAATATTAAAAAAACATTGTTAATAAATTGGAGTCACGTTTGTTTTAAATCGTGCCCCTTAGTTTAACAGTAGAGTTTTGAGCTGTCATAATAATTTTTTTATTAACATACATAAGTACAGGCAACAATATAAAAAAAAACTGACTAATTTCTTCTTTGTATTTTAAATCTTAATTTGTTTAAAATAAGATTTAAGATGAATTGTGGAAATTCAACATTTTATTGTTATGTGTAGTAGGTACACATTGTTTTTATGAACATAAATATATACTGTAACATATTTGGCATTGAAGAACATATTCTTTGAAGATAAAGGCAGAATATTTGTTAGTATTATAAATAATACCTAACTTGTTTAATTTTTATATTTGATAAATTTTGTATACACAGTGCTGTATTGATATTTATTTTATCAACATATATTCACACTTGGGTAGGTCATAAGGCCATAATATTTTATTATAGAATAGTGAAATCGTCTCGAACAGCTCGACGGTGTAGTGCACGGGTTCCCAAACTTATTTCGTTTACTGTCCACTTTTAGAATAAATATTTTATATTTTTAGCGTCTCCATTTCGTGACCTATTTAAAACCACTCAAATTAAATTAATTATTGTGAGCTATATTAGCGGAGATTAAACATTAATTCTAAACGAGACTTTTACTATAACCAGCAAGAGTTAACATGAGACCTTAACGCAGTAGGTAGTACACAAGTTTTATGAACCCTAAGTCTCTACACAACGCCCCCATTTATTTATTTAGCTCTCGTACTGCCTGCATTTAGACTTGCAGCTCGTTAATGCCCGCTTTGGTGCTGCTGGTGCAGTGGCTGGTGTAGTGGCTCGCGCGTTCGGTCTGCGATACAATTGTTAAGCAACTTTTACAAGGGCTCGTCATAGGATGGGTGATGAAAAGTCTATTATCTCGAGCTCCTTCGTGCTTTGTAAGGCATGTTACGCCGTTATCTCTACTGCATCGGCAGTCGTTAAAAGTCACCAATTCCTTAGTCCCGCGTGGTGTGTAATGGCACAACTGTCCTTATTCGATTCAGTTCTATTTTATCCATAAAGAAGGCCAGTGCCCCAGCAGTGGGGAGATTAATAGGCTAGGCTGATGACGATGATGAATAAAATTGTCTATTAAATTAATTATAAGTAATTGATTTTGAATTTGCATAAGAAAGTCGAACTAAGTTCGTATACTATCGAGTGAATTTTATGTCTGCATAATTATACGTAAGTACCTGCTTAAGATCGTTGCAAGTCTGACGGTAGATCCAATAAGCGTCTTACAAAATTCATAGTATGCAACGGATCATCCGTCGGAAAGTGTGAAAGGTTGAATATCATATCACATCTGTCAGATATGCAACGATAAAGGGACTTTCCAATAAAACAATTATTTTTTATGCTAAATGCGTCTCTGTACAAAATTATTATTTATGTCATTTGTTTGAAATCCGTGAAATATGATGCGGTTATCAAAAAATCTTAAATGCACCATGATATCTTGATGAATTTGATTTATCTATGTTCGAAATCAATTGATTTGGTATTATGATACTAATAACTATTTCTTAATATATCCTACATACAGTGTATGCGACCTCGCCGAATATTTCTTTGTAGCTTTTTCTTTTTTTGTTTATTTTGGAGTTCATATCACACAGTACTATTAAATTTGTTTTCTAGTTATGTAGTGTATGTCTACTTTACATATTAAACGAACATGTTTTGATACCCATTGTGTGTCTACCAACTATGTAAATATCTACATTACTAGCTATACACAACACATCGTTTAATTGTATCACTGAACTGCGTAAAAAAGATGAAATCAACAGGTGGTGAATATACGGTAAATCTTTTTAGGGTTCCGTGCAATGTTAACCTAATAAAATTACTTGGTTGCCTGTCTGTCACGCTTCAAATAAGCTCCGAAATTACTGAATATAAATTATACTGAAATTTGGTATACCATGTGCAAGTGTAACAAAAATAAATTAATTTTAAACTTATAAATAAATTAAAAACAAAAATTTGTGAAATATGTGACATACCAATTGATAGAGTTTGTTCGCACGTGTGTATTTTTAAGATTTTTTAAATTATTTATAAAAAGGGGAAAAATTAACAATCATATCTTATTTCTTGACACAACTGGGCCTCTATTTTTGAAAGTGATATCTCCAGCGCGCAAGTCCGAGTCGCCCTTGACCGGTTTATGTCACGGTTTGAAACATATACCGGACTTACTTCCGGCTTCCTTATTGTTTTACTGATAATAATAGATAAAGTTTATTTTGTATTCGGTTTGTTAGAAGCAACATGGATATTCATGGCCATATTCGTTAAAAAATAGAAAAAATAATTTTTGTACAGAACCCTCGTTGTTGCGTGAGTTCACATCGATCTCGGTTTTTTACTGAAACAAACTTATATTTTTCAATTTTTAACTAAGAGCTGACATGGATGATATGAAAACAACCGTTAATATTTTTCGAGTTTTAATATAATTTATTATGACTTCTTTTATTTTCTATAATATATTAGAGAAAATAAGAGAAGAATATAATATATTATAAAATATATTATAAGAAATAAAAGAAGTTTAAAATAAATTTAAGATACTATACTCCTCTGAGACGGCTTGACCTTTTTGATATAATTTTATAGTTTACCCTCTAGGTTTGAGAAAAAGTTGTTATCCTTTTTCTATATATATATGTAGCCCTAAGTTAAAAACGGTAGCATGATTTGTTAGTGATTTTTGTGTGTGAAATCTAGATTGATTGAATGCATATCGTAGATGTCAACCATTTATCTGTATCTAATGTATGTATTGATGCGGTTTTGCGGTTAGTTTTATTATCATTGTTAGGCACACTTTAGTTATTATTCATTAGAGCATAGCCACAAAAACTACAGAAGCATAACTGGTGTACACAATATAAACGATAATTTACGTGTATGTTTATTTTATAATAAACTATTGCTTAAGTTTATTGTTATTTTGCCAATAATCATTCCATTTTTGCAAAACGCATTATAATTTATTACTCGGGATTAGCTTATTCTTACTTCGAGATTAGGGAGTAGCTCAGTGGCGTAGTGGATAAGCGACGCGGCCCGCGATCGTGATCGCTAAGCAACTTTCGCAAGGTTCGGTCACGGGATGGGTGACCAAAAAATTATTATATCGAGCTACTCTGTGCTTCGGAAAGCACGTTAAGCCGTTGGTCCCGGCTGAATTTGCAGTCGTTAATACCCTTCAATCCGTATTGGGCCAACGTAGAGGGTCATGGCCCATTCTCCATAAGGAAGGCCTGAGTCCCTACGGTGGGGACGTAAAAGGGCTGATGATGATGGCTCGAGATTAAGTTGCTTTTTAAATGAAATGTTCTTGACGTTTCCTGTTTATAGTCAGTAATATTAATATTATTGTATTTTTTACTTACCGTATTCAATATAATCTTTTTTTAGATGGAGGAGAAAAGGATAGAAAATGAAGGTACGGAAGATTCGGATGCATCAGGGATGGAGAGCGATGATCCACTCACAGCCACAGACACGAAATATGGAAAGAGTTTCAGGTTTAAAATAATTTTTTAACTATGTGTGTGATGTTTCCGATATTTATTTTTTAAACTATTGTAAATTGGCGCCCAACGTGGTGCATCAAATCAACAATAAATTGAATAAGAGATTAATGACGATAGCTTATTCTGTTTAATATTGTTGATTCGCAATTATTTAAGACATTATGCATATAAACTAGATATCAAGCATTAATAATAAAAAATATATTTCATTGTCTTTCATAAGATATGTATATTATCTTCAGCGAGTGGTATTTATGGGAGAAATATGGATATTATTCTAAACACATCACTATTTGAAATTCTGAAATCTTATATTTGCATATGGGGACGGAATCACTAACGTATACTATAAACAGAATTGAAATATTGATCTGTTAACTGACACATTTCTTTGTTTGCAGACATTTCACAAGAGAAGCTTTGCCGAGGCTGGATAATTACAGGAACGTGTTGTCACTGCACGCCGCACCAAGACCTACTCTGGATGAGTTGCACAACGCTTCTTTATCTAGGAAGGTGAGATTTTCGTACAGAATAACAAAATTGACTATTCCTTCGATGCTGTTCTAAAATCAAAAACTACTAATTGTAGTTATGCGTTATGTTTTAGTTTGTATATATCTTTGGATGAGGAGTATAGAAGCAACATTATACGGTTACAATTCTTAAAATTGTTGTATTACTTAAATGGACTCATGTTATTTCTATTGAATGATGCAGACGATGATTAGTTACGCAGTATGAAAATTTGTTTTCTGAGAAAAATACCGATATACTGGCAAGTGATGTTGGTTTAATGTTTTTATCAATACACGTTATATTTATTTGATGTATCTGAGCGTCAGAAGTATAAAATTATTTTATATATTCAACGATTATCATCTCCACATCGAAATACTAAGAGCGTGCGTTATTGTTTATAACATATAGGTACATTTTTATGAAAACATGTCTTGAAAACATAATTCGTATTGAAGGTTTAGTGATTCACACGCCGGTTTAAGTTGTTCATCTTTGAAGTTTCTCTCGGGTTTGATTCGCAATTGGGTCTCGGGTTCTGAAACAACGATATTGTTTCAGATTTTTCATGTAACAAGGGCGAATCTGTTTTCTGTTCTGTGGGCAAAACCTACTTAGATTTCAGTATTATCTTAACGTATGTGATGTTGTCTAATATCTATACTTATCTAATATCTATACTTATATTATAAATAGGAATTATTTGAACGTTTATTTGCAGTGAAAATGTTCCGAAACCACTGTCCTGACAAAAAAATCTTTGACGTACAGGAATCTACATCATACGCGTGTGACATAGGTTATTTACGCATGCGAAGTCGTGGAAAACATCTAGTAATAATAATTCTATAAATATTAATCCATCAAGTCTTAAGTAACCTCCATCTGAATATATGCCATTGGATATGGATAATTAGGAATAATTTAATGACCAATTTCGTGGACTCATTTACCTATACTTTTACGGTTATCTTATCAAATATAGGCTCGATCGATCCTTATTAACCCTGAGTACCGACGCAAAAGGAGCACCTAAATAAAGCGGTTTGATTGACGACTGACGTCAATAGATTTGGAAACAATATCCGATGGCGAGTCTCTCCCATCGCTGTCTTTAGATTGTGTAAACAATATAGATACATCACTTTTATATTTTTGTTTGTTCGTACACAATTGTCATATAGATTGATTGAAAACTATCACTTTATATGAATAATATAATCTGTTCCTAGGGCAGAAAGCACAACGGACAATGTCACAAACATTATGTGAATGGTGAAAGAAAACGATACGTATCGATATCCATCGAAAGTCCTTATATCGTTTCCGTGTTTTGTTATACTGGACGCTGCTGAGCTAAGCGGCTGATCTCATCCCGTACAACAAGATCAGGCAGTACAACGATTAAAGACGTCTATGGATAGCGATACGCATAGTTTTCTTTCAACGCTCACATAAACTTTTATGTTATACATAACTGATAAAGCGAACTTCGTACTGCTGTATACATTTCTTGCAACCATCTGCAATATTAATTTTATAGTCTAAAAAGCACTAATCTCTCAGAATCTAATACGGCTAATTAACTGTACCCATATATCAATTGAACCATTAGAAGTATGTCACGTTGCCCGACCCACTCCGAAGCACCTTTGTTTGGACACGTGGGCTATCCAGACTTACAATGTCAAGAAATTACAACCTCATTTCTTTCATCATACGACTCAAAGTGGCTAAAACCACAAGCAGATGTTTGGAATAGTAAAATTAGAGGCAAAATATACTACCTACAGTCATTTGGTTACGTTGGTTTGTTTCAATGAAATACAGTTACAATTACGCTATCGTTTAGCGCATTTGTAATCTCGTCAAGTAGACTATTATTAATACTGATGCGGTTATTGAATCTTGTTTGTGTTGTAGGAAATTGATTTTATTGTTCATGTTGTTTGTTTTGTCTATAATACTGTAACTGGAAGAACCTGAAGTGGTATATAATAATATTATACATAGTTATCATTTCGTAAACGGTTTTAATTACACCCAATCATAATTAACCTATGTCCACGGGTCCTAACCTGACCTTACGTCTAGGTGGCCCTGTTCTAATTGACCTTTGGTTAAATATAATTCTAGCTACATTACCAATGATTCTGTCTGTAGATAACATGATAAGTTGCAAAGCGCTTGTATAGTTTAATTGATTGAGTAAATGGATAGCTATGTTATTCTCTCAGAAATATACATTATTATTAGGGCATGCGTGGAACAGATGTTATTTTAATTTAAATATAATAATTTTATATGATAATAATAAGAGGAAAAGATTTTTTTTGGCAACTATTTTTATATTGCACGGCCAAACATGTGGAAACGGTTTCAAAAAGGGGATTTCGAGCTACATCAACGATGTATATCGTATAGTTATTTACCTTCGTAGGCCTTTTGCGAGAATATATCCGAAGATTTGGCCTACAGAGAATAGTATACGGGCTTACAGCATGGTGCAGCTTGAGTGGACTTTCTGTTCTTGTTGCTCCTATGCGACGCTTCTGGTTTAGTGGCATAGCTTAGTCACATGTTTATTTCAATTTGATAATATGTAGAATTTAAATATTTAACCACCAACCACCATTTTTAAATATTGTGTTTTATGTCTACAGTCTTTTTTATTAATTGGTTTTACACGATATATATACAATTGGTAGAGTTTTTGATGACTGTTATTATTTAACTGTAAGGAAGCCATTCGCATAAAATATGACCGATTTATTTCCTTTTGTAATATTAATCGAGGTCATCCAGTAAACAAACACATGGCCAATTAAGATTTTATTTTATGGCTTAGAAGTACGCTTTCAATACAGGCAGTACAATTCCTATTGATGTTACTCAATATTATGGCTTAGCTTTTTGCCAGATAACTGAGTAGTAGATTCATGAATGGTGTTTTGAATGGTGTGTATTTTATTATGAATGAATGGCTATGGATATTATTATTACAACAAAACCCTTGTTTACGTGTTGCCAGCATAGTTTTTTTAGGGAACTGGATGAGATGATTTGTATGATTATATAACTAAAACCACCAATCTCACAATCTGCATCAATCATATCATGATACAAACTTACATATACTGAAACCAAACTTGACCACTTAAGGGTAATTTTATTGTGAATAAAAGAAAACCCTAGTAAACTGTATCTGTAAAATACTTGAAATGTAAAATACTATCTATCTATATCTTTACGAAGTTTTATGACAAAATATACATATAATAACAAATACAAACATAACCAATGAAGCATGTTTGATCGATTTTTATATGATTATGTTCACATAGTCTCGAGGTGCTTCTATCCCACAGTAAGTTTCGAAAATGAAAATTAAAAATACTTCAATCAAATAAGCTTGTTACAAGCACTTTTTAAGTGTACAAAATCTTTTCCCTACCATTCGTTCAGGGCGTCTTTTGACTGACAAGAAGAACAAGCAAAAGAAACTTACCAGATCCTACTTTTGATAACGCTTATTCGCATTCTGTGTTCATTGATTCTCATATCATTTATATCGACATCGATATTTATATCGACAAATATTAGCAATGGGGTCAAATCTTAGAACTTGTATCGACAAATATTAGAACTTGTTCATCAGCGTGTTTTCCTTTCAGCCAGGCCAAACTTTGGAGAAAGACATGGCGCCTCCAGAACCCCTCACTTCGCAGGTCAAGTTTGGTTGGATTAAGGGAGTGCTCATGCGGTGTCTTCTTAATATATGGGGCGTTATGCTGTTTTTGCGACTCTCCTGGGTTATAGGTCAGGCGGGCATTGGTAAGTATTCGCATATTATAAATTGATCGTACCAAGACTTTAGAGAAACGTCATGGTCACTGGTTAGCGACTTGAGTGTTTAAGTACTTTTTAAGTAATATTTGAAGATTAATATTAAGATAATGCGTTTTTTGCTTAAATGTACTTATTAGTACAAGCTGTTTTTTTTTTATTAAAAAGGTTTTAATAATGAGTACATTTGATATTCTTTGTCGACAATTGTGTTTGGTTGCACAGAATGTGAGGTTCGGCACGATTTGTAAGTCGTACGCTACGGTACATAATTTTGCTAATATTGTTGTTGTTGGGTGGGTAGCGCAGGCCGTGCTGCTGATCCTGACCACCTCCGTGGTGACGACCATAACGGCGCTCTCCATGTCCGCCATTAGTACAAATGGGGTAATTAAAGGAGGTCTGTATCAATCAAATATATTCATTGTTATATTTCTATGAAATATCTGTTTTTTAATATTCGAATTAATTATTTATAAGTACTTAGTGGTCATACTTTATATAGATCTATAATTTTATTAAGTCGAATATTACTCCATGTTTATAATTAATAAAAACTTTATTTTTATTAAAGTTTGTCAAGTAACAAAGTAAATGATATCAAAAAAGTTCATGACTTATAATGGTAATCATTTAAATTTTTTGTTTTTTAAATAAGTTGCATATCGTTATAAGTTGTGTGTTGATTAATACTTTTTATTACTGTATATCATTACTACTATAAAATACTCGTAAATAAATACTATTACAGTAAAATCCAAGAGCTGCCATATATTACCTATTTCCCGATGAAGAAAATGTATGGTATAAACTTAGATTTTTGCTTATCTGATAGCTTGGCTCATTAAGTTGCAGAGACTTCTTTAACGAAAAGAAAGTACTGGTGGATAATTAACAACGTTTTATAACATATACTTATAAAATCATCATCAGAGTTAAAGAAAGATGAGTAGTAATTTACTTAATTTTATTACCTGATATGTGTAAATTTACCATCAGGCTACGCTAGTAGATAGCCATACAATCTAAGTATTTAAATACAAACAGTACCCTATTCGATACGTTTTTTCCTTTAGAAAATAAATAAGAAATAAAAAATGGCGGCCCTAGGATCTTGGTCTATATTATTGATTTGTATATAATGCGGTCGGGGTGGTAACTTGTTCATTAGTCAGATGTACTGAACATGAAACAGCTTCGCGACGGAGTTCATTGTTATTGTGAACTTTGAACTATGAACTTTAAACCCAAGAGAAAGTTCACCTGTGAGATAGATTTTCTCTTTTAATGCTCTATTTTTGCATCTTCTTTAATTACGTTTATTTCACATCGGCGGTCGGTAAATGAAATATTATATCGACTACTTGGTGGTTCATGTATCACTGACCTATTTTTGAGTTAGTAGTACATACGACTGCACGTCAGACGTATAGTCTGTGTTGTGGACTTTGTACCGACCGTCCTTCGTATAGAAGTTGCCTACTAACAGAGATCTGCTTACGATGGTGGTTTGTGGCGTACCGTGCAGTCGTGTGTACTAGCATTGTTATTACTATAATAAATTGTATAAGTTTTTACTAATAATAACAAACAACACTCAAGTAATGTATACTGGTAGAAGTGGCAAGGGAAGGATCGGTAGGATTTGACAGGTAGTGTTCAACCATACCAAGGAACTAGATTCTTACTTAGTATTTGTGTTTGTTGATATTTCGCGCGATATTGTGTCAAAATTGTGCAGTATAAGATCGCTGGCTCTTATTATATTGTATTTAACAATTTTAAAGTTATGTTTCATCAAATATTTTGTAACATATTAAAGGTGCTACACAGCAGTTATACAACATTCTATAGCAGTGCCATACTAACGTTAACGTAACCTAAGTTAATATAACTTTTGTTTTAATTGACAACATTATAAACATAACTGCTGAATGTATCATGCAGGTGGGACGTATTACATGATATCGCGATCGCTGGGTCCCGAGTTCGGCGGCTCTATTGGATTGATATTCTCGATGGCCAACGCGGTGGCGTGTGCTATGTACGTGGTTGGCTTCGGCGAGTCCCTCATCACACTTATACCGGAGTCCGCATATATGGTCAGCAAGAGCTGGGTGAGTTAATTCATTGTGACATTCACAAACATTGTGATTACTGGGCACCATTAAATATGGGTACAAGTTACACCCAAACGATATTGAGACCAGACAAATCGATTCTGATGATATATTGAAATTATGATTAAATTTATAGTCAGTATTTTTTTTTCGATAATCTTAAGTCACGGTGGATATCGCCGTGTACAGACGCGTTCATAAAGAGAGAAATACGTGGCACGACGATAATATCGCCGCGATTCTTTAGCTCGTGGAGATGGCGCCTAAGTGAGACAGTTCTGCAGTTTATAAAAGTGGGTAGATCGCGGTACCCCATCAGTTTCTCTTTACTCGGTCATACATAGTTAATAAAACATAACTTTTTTCGACTAATAAGAAATCAAATCAATTTTAATATAAAGTTATTTAAAGTAATTTGTAACATCATAATCAGACAGATGGATACCGCAACCTTTTTTCTTACTACTTAAATAACGTCTCGAGGCATGGCTTTTATGTTCTATTATGATATCTCTATGGGCCAGACGCACGGACTGCCTGGTGGCGCGTTATTTGAATTATTCTGATGAAAATATTTTTAAGTCTACTAGATCGAATTGACTACAAGCTGTAACGCTCGCTGTAAATAAACAACTGAAAAAATATCAGTGAATGGCTCACTTGCTATGATTTCCTGTAACGTAGTGAAATTCCTAGCGCCAACTTAGTTACTCCCTCTTGCCTTATCGACCTAAAAACCAAAAACCTAACTTAACCTAACCCAAAAACTCCATCTCAAATCGTCAGTGGGTGTGATAAAAAGTGGTTGTTATTTGTAAATATTAGGACCAAGCGATCTACGGCTGCATAACGATAGTGCTGCTGACTGGTATAGTGATAGTTGGCATGGAGTGGGAGGCGAAGGCTCAGATCGTCCTGCTAGTGATCCTGCTCGCCGCCATCGCTGACTTCCTCATAGGCTCCGTCGTTGGACCGAAGAGTGTTATAGAACAAGCTCAGGGCTTTGTTGGTTATAATAGTGAGTATATTTTCACATCAAACGAGATAACTTTTAAATCTTGTACCCTTAGCACGAAAAATTGCTGAGTTCGAATAAAATTTGTATCGAACATAAATGCTAATTCTTTGTATTGATATTTGCACAGTGCTATCTATTGTGATTATTTATACAAACATTTGACATGTATGATCGCTTTAAATTTGTTTTTTATTGTGATAAAGATACAGATGTGTTGTTTGTTTAATGGTCGTATAAAGTATTACAAAGTTTAAATTCCGTAACAGATTTAAGAAAAGTTAATAACCATCTATTAACTTCTGTAGTCAATGTAAATGTCATTTACGTGAGTTAATTATTACATTACATTAATCTAATATTTAAAGTGTAAATATGTATTCTGTAAAAAGTCAAAACCAAAGGTAAGGAAGGTTTATAAGTCTGCTACGAACATTATTTTCTAATCAATGACTTATTGGTCAAATTTATATATCGTTCCGTTTCTTGTTGCAGTGAGTATATTTCACGATAACTTGTGGTCGGACTACCGCTACTTCGAGGGGGTGGAGCACAATTTCTTCTCAGTGTTTTCTATATTCTTTCCTGCAGCGACGGGTATACTCGCTGGGGCTAACATATCTGGAGATTTGAAGGTATATTGGTTTTTTATAATTCACATATATACCTATATGTTGAGGGGTAATCAAAGAGAACTCGTGTAACAACATAAAACTCTTATGTTGTCTTCTTTATTGCAAATGTGCGTGGGTAAAGTTTATGATAGACGATTTTTTCGTGGTAGATAAAAAACAATTTTTTTTGGACGATTCAAAAGTGTTTGTATTAGCCTACTTGAATAAAGTTATTTTCATTTAATTTCATTTCTAGTTTTTGACTATATTAATAAAAATGAGAATCGATCAATCTTTTCCTTCTATTAATAAAATTATTACACACGTCCGATTGTGGAAATTTTTGTGCATTCAGCAAGAACTATCTCTCTCTAGCCCTCTAATTCGACCCTCTGTCCTCACCTCCTCCCGTCAGAGTGTTGAATATTTTTCTCCTTCCTTTTATTAAATTATTTGCCGGACCCTAAACTAAATCATAGGAAAACATGTTTTCTTTGTATTTATATATATATTTCGCATGGTAGGCATACACATTGATTAAGTAATAGTATTTTATGGTGATCTAGGACCCGCAAAAGTCAATCCCCAAAGGTACCCTTCTGGCCATCGTGATCACAACGGTGTCGTACCTGATGATCGGCGTGGTGGCCGGCTGGACCGTGCTGCGGGACGCGTCAGGAATACCGAGTGATCTGATCACTGGTAACCTCACCGCTTGTGCCTCAACACATTCATGCCCCTACGGACTGCATAATAGCAATGATGTATGTACAATGTAATGTAGTCGTACGAATTAACATGATACCCGAAGGTCTATTCTATTTCTCCGAAAATTTTTGAAATGCTAATATGACTCCAAAGAAACATTTTACGATAATTTACTAATTTACGATGCTACCTACAGAGATAGGATCTGACCCTGCCTCTGATTTATCTTTGCAATTATATTTTCTCAGATAAGATTTTAATAGAAATAAATTTACGTTCGAAGACAAATAGAATAAGCCCTCATGTTAATTCACTTGCGTTGTCAAATTTGTGTAATCAATTTTGAACTTAACTTTTTATATATTAAAGTTTACAAACAATTGAATAATTCTCTTCTACTATATGTTCCAGTATATCATAGGATATTTAAGATTTCGAATTTTACTTTGTACAGTATTTTAATAGTGATAAATCTGTATAAAACAAAAAATGGTTTCAAGCCGGCTTTTCTAAGTTCAAGGTCTCTTATCGCTTTTATTTTAGTAGTTTTGGGTATACTGGTAAAACTTCACTCGGTTATGAGATGTCTGTATGCCGTCTTGATGCCGAATCCTGTTTTTAAGACGGGCTTCTACCTGAAAATATATTAGTATTAGCGCATGTCTTTCTTTTTATCAAAAAATTGCATTTATAATATTTTAAAAAAAGATGTGCATTTTATTTATTGAGTCAACAAAATCTGTAGTACTTAAATTAAATTAAAAGAATTATTGTACTAATACATTTTATGTCAATAATATTGAAATTATATAAAACGGGTTTTAATTGTTTAAATTTATGAGGAGATATTTTCTATTAATGTACTAATGTCAAAGTTACCGCATCCGGAACGCAGGCCATATCAATCCGGCCCGCGATCACAATATATCAAGAAACAAAATACTTGTTTTTAAGGTTTTAGACTGCATTCTTAAGCGTTATGCTTAAAAATACGCGTGATTTATTTACAAGTAATTTCAAGAGTAGCGCGAGCCTAGATTAAGGAGAGTGTTAATTATTTATGCTTTTTTTCTTTTCTGATAATAATTCAGTATGTTTATTTTTTTTTATTTGAACTTGGTACACCGACACATTCTAAACCCATTTGCAATTTTGAGTTTGTCACCCATGTATTAATGTTTTCAGGATTTAAATTAGTTTGGAAATGAATGTCATAGTAAAATTAACTCTACTGTATGTAAGCCAAAGGAATCTTGTTTTCAATTTTGATATGATATTATATCAAAATTGATGTTATTATTCGCAGGTTATACGTTTAGTGTCCGGTTTTGGTCCTTTGATATACGGCGGATGTTTCGCTGCGACTCTATCTTCGGCCCTCGCGTCACTCGTGTCTGCACCTAAAGTATTTCAGGTAAACTACTGAATACATTCTTATACTAATAATATATACCTATGCCATATAGTAAAATATTTGAATAAATATTATCATATCACATAAAGGTTATAATTTGACTACCCTTAATACTAAACAGGACTATACAGGTTCATTTCGAACGGTCAGTATGGGACAGTATGAAGTTATATATAAGATATACAAAGATCTGTTATTAGGAACAGTGTCATCGATTTTAGCGACAAGAAATGGTGCATTCATACATTAAAAAAAGTCTTGTTCTCTGTCCGGCTTCGACTCGGATGTTTTGAAAAATTTACTTTATTTCTATCGAGATACTGATTGTGTAGTCCTTAAAGCAGTTAATGTAGCTTTTAAGCATAATGTCTTAAACGGATAAAATGTATTGTTTTTCATGTCTTTTATTTAAGCAGGTGTTTTAATACTTATTTCGTGTGTTAGGTACTATTGTTTTAAAACTTTTATAAATGAGCCGATTTCATATTAAACATTTTAAATTTAAAACTGTGCGGCTTGGGATATATTTAAACCAATATTGTATGTGTGGATATGATTGTAGTGTGTTTTTTTTACAGGCGTTATGTCAAGATAAGTTGTACCCGTATCTGGAGTATTTCGCTAAAGGCTACGGACCCAACAACGAGCCTGTTAGAGGATACGCGCTCACGTTCCTTATAGCCACAGCCTTCATACTTATGGGTCAGTATTATACGATTTACACGGGCGACTGCGGGTTCAATTTCTGGCTGGGTCAATGTTGAATCTTATACCGCCTTAATATACGACCAAAATAAGTTTACACGTCTCAATTTGACGTTTTCTCTTCTATTATTGTTAATTCGCTGTCAGTGGTTTAAACCAAGTATGTAATAACTTTAGTTCACTTTTAAAATAAGACTGGTAATGTTCCGGGTATAGGTGTCTTCGTTGTTGCAGATTAAAAAAATAAAAAAAAATTTTAACTTTTAGTCGGCTTGGGATTTGAGTTATTTAATATAGTATGTATTTACCAGGTGGGTTGAATCAGATCGCTCCGCTGATCTCCAACTTCTTCCTGGCGGCGTACGCGCTCATTAACTTCTCCACCTTCCACGCTAGCCTTGCGCGACCTGTCGGCTGGCGGCCCACCTTCCGGGTACTATACTTTACTAAATACACTATACTACATTACACTATACACACTGGCAGATATTATTTGGCGTCTAGCAGATGTTCTACCTCGAGATAGGACTCGAACCTAAAACCTTTCGCAATTCGGAAGACTGGTCTAACCATTGATGAAAATACGCTTACTAGTAGTGAAATAGAACAAGTCGAATCCCCTCTCCGGGTACCTTGGGTCTGGTGGATTTTTAAGCATTTTTCATTATAATATATGTATTCTGAGATAGTAGCTGAATTAAACTAATGAATTGTTTCCAGTTATACAACATGTGGCTATCGCTGATCGGCGCGATGTTGTGTGTGGCGATCATGTTTGTGATATCGTGGATCACGGCGCTAATAACATTCGCTTGCCTGCTCGCTCTCTACCTCCTTGTCTCGTACAGGAAACCTGGTAAATTCGCAATATAATATTTAAAATGTCTATTTCAGCATGTCAAAAAATATACTCCTGAATTATTACCTTATCATTTAATAAATTATCACTTAATTTTATTAGCAACTAGCTTTCGTCATCGGCTTCGACTGCGTGGTCCTTAGTCCTAATAAACCTTTATTTAAGCATTAAAAATTAAGCCGTTGGGTCCTTTAAAGATCTCAACGTACAATACAGTGTAATACTATGTATAAATGAAAAATCATTTTCAACATATTTAACGCACTTTGACATGTATGATTGTATGGTAAACTGCCAGTGAAATCTGTATGTGATACATATTTTGGTATTTAGACGTGAACTGGGGCTCCACGACTCAGGCGCAGACTTACAAGAATGCTCTGTCAGGAGTGCACCAACTAAACAGGGTCACTGAACACGTCAAGAACTATAGGTACGTACCCGCACTCTGGTATATATTTCATATATTAATTTTCAGTTGTTACAGTCGAGACTGTTTAACCTTATTGACAGTTGGCCTAAACGGAAAATTCATTATTTTGAAGTCGAGTCATTTATAATGACTAGCTACAAATTTCTTGAAGGACACGCGAATAAAAGACTCTGAAAACACGCGAAAAAAAGAAGACTCTGTAATTATATTTATTAATGTGTATTGTTCATTAAGTAATTATAAAAAAATTAAAGCTTCAAAAAGTGGCTTACTTACTTTAAATGTGTATGGATTATTTATTAATGTGTTAAAAAAGTTAAAAGCGTGGGAGAGGAGAACTGAATCAAAATTTTATAATCAGTTTAGATTTTAACTGTCCAAACTGTTAAATTAATAACTATTTTCTTCAGTATTATATCTTTACACCCAGTTAATACTTGCAATATGTTTGTGCACCACCTGCAAATAGGTCTATATATACGAGGGCGGGATGATAAATAGCTAGCATAGCATAGAGAAACTTGAATTAGTGTGTTAAAAGTATATTTATTTTTCGACATAGTCTCCTTGAAGCGCTATGCACTTCATCCATATATGCCATTGCAGTGTTGCACATTTGAACGCGCGCATTATCCTGATGAAAGATTATTTTTTTTTAGCTAGGCCGGGTCTTTTTTCACGAATACACACTTGTAATTTATCCAGTAGATCAGCATAATATTCGCCATTTATGTTTTGTCCATTTGGAAGGTAATCAATCATCAATTTACCGTTCGAATTCCAAAATACTGACGCCATGACTTTCCCCGCTGATTTCACGGCTTTTGCTTTCTTTGGAGCCGGGGATCCTTTTTCCGTCCATTGTTTAGACTGAATTTTTGATTCAGGTATATAGTGGTGAACCCAAGTCTCGTCCGTAGTAACAAACCGTCGCAGAAAATCAGTTGTATTGCTCTTAAAGCGGTCCAAACATTCTTGTGGAACGCGTTTTTGGTCAACTGTAAGCAATCGCGGGACCCACCTTGCGGATAATTTTTTCATACATAATTCTTGAGTTCTTTAGAGATGCCAGCTATCTCGTACAGTATCAGCTATCTCGGAAAGTTTCAATCTTCGGTCAGCTAAAACTGTATCATGAATTTTGATCACAATTTCTGTAGTAGTGGCACTTTTTTGACGTCCTGGACGATGTTCATCTTGGGTGCTAGTACGGCCACGTTTAAATTCAGCCACTCAATTTTTTATGGTCGTATATGAAGAAGCATTTTCTCCCAAAACATCCTTCATCTTCGAAAAATTCTCTCCACCTTTAAATTCTTTTAAATGCAAAAACTTTATCACAGCTCGTAGCTCAATTTTATCCATTTAGCAGAAAAAACAAAAGAATGCTTTTTCAAATGTTAATATTTAAAAGAAAAACTATACGATCGATTTGAAATTTGGAACACTGGCAGCTAATGAACCAATGAGTAAAATACTAAGGAGATTTTATATCGTTATTATACAGAATATGGGTTAGGCTAGCTATTTATCATCCCGCCTACGTATTACCAGTTATTAGAACTCCTGAAGATGATCTGTGGAGAGGTGAATCAATTGGTGTAGTATATACACAACACCTGATACTGTTACTAATATAGAATTTTCTTGTCTCGCAGACCACAAATACTGGTGCTAACCGGATTCCCGGCGGAGAGGCCTATTCTCACTGATTTTGGTTATTTATTGACCAAAGGTCTGTCTTTGATGTTGTGTGGTCATATCTTACAGGTGAGCCGTAATATTATATAGCAATTATAAATTAAAAATGCTCAATGAAATATTTACCGTTTAGAGAAAACATAAGGCTACACATACAATAGTTACTCCTATCGATCTCTAGAAAACACTTTGCTTTAAAGAAGCAGGTTGGTAACTTTTGCAATACAAGGGCCATTTTCGCAGTCGCTTTTTTTGCTTCGCACGGGATGATAAATGGTTGATGTGTATTTTTTTTAATCCAATTAGGAAAAGATATATTTTTCTTTAAAATGAAATGAGTTTATTAAGCCAATTTGCCAAATTCTTTCTAATTATTTTTATGTGTGCGGAGTGTGAATTTACGAGTAATGAAGTAATTTTTCAGATTAAACAAAAATATTGAATATTGAAATTGATAAAAAAAATATTGCATATTTTAAACTTTATTATTTTTTGTGAAACTGTTTTGTGTCTTTCTATCTGTAGATAATTAGTTGCCAGAAACTATTTAATTATTTTGTGATAGATATGATTAGTTTAGCAAGTTTTATGTTAACATGCGATATCGCCATGGTATAGGGTCAGACGAGTCACCGCGGGCGCGAGGAATTAACATCGCGCGCTTACTCATGGTTCACGCGACGCAAGATCAAGGCCTTCTACTGCCTCGTGGACCATGCCACCTTCAAGGACGGAGCCAGCGCACTTATGCAGGTTAATATAGCAACCGTCGATACTACTGTACATCTACTGCCCAGTGGACTCATACAGGTTACTATTGTAACCGTTAATACTGCTGTATGTATTCTATTGCCTCGTGGGCTCATGAAGGTTACTATTGTACCCGTTAATACTGTTGTGTATATCCTACTGCCTCGTGGGCTCATGCAGGTTACTATTGTAACCGTCGATACTGCTGTATATCTTCTACTGCCTCGTGGGCTCGTGCAGGTTACTATTAGTAACCGTCGATACTGCTGTATATTTAGTACTACTTCGTAGACCACGTCACCTTCAAGGAAGAGGTCAGCGCTCTCATGCAGGTTACTATAGCAACCGTCAATACTACTGTACATTTTCATTGCGTCGTGGACTACACCACCTTTAGAGACGGGGCCAGCGCACTAAGTATGAGTATGAGAAATCATAATATTTGTCCTGATGAGGATAGTGATTAAAACAAAAATGGTGGGATTTATAAAATAAGTGTTATTTTATGTACACAGGCGAGCGGATTGGGCAAGTTGCGGCCGAACATTTTGATGATGGGTTTCAAAGAGGACTGGCAGACTTGCGATCGCGCTGACCTCGATGCATACGTGGAACTTATGCAGTCAGTATATTGCGTATTTATCTAATCGATAGAACACTCATTCTCTTTTAAGTTCACTTACGATAAACTATTTTTAAGGTTTTTCACGTGTTTTTGTAAAGTTATTTCATTTTTATGACGTTCAAACTTGTCAAGGATCTGCATCGTTTGAAAAATTAAACATTTTTTCTTTTTAGGTTTATCAGTATATAAAGAATATCAGTTTATTTTTTTACAATTATTGTAATTGTTGCAAATTGATGTACTGACTTATAAATTTTTACTACTATAGCTGATTTTCAGAAGATAGGTATTAAATATTGTTAAATTCGATAGGTAATTGTATTTATTTATTATATGTAGAAAATGTTAAAAATGTCTTTTTTGTTTAACTTGACTTTGTACGCATGATGTAGTTTTCTTCTTTTTAAATGCTTGCATTATATTTAGTTATTTCGATAATATCGATTTTAGTAAAGCATTGGATATGCATATGGGTCTGGCCTTACTACGCGTGGAGGGCGGGCAGGTGTCACGTGAAGCGTTGGACGATGATCTCTTGCATTATCTGGTTCATCTGGACGCGCCCGCCGCTGGGGAATTGCCACGTGAGTACACTCTGACATTGTAATGAATATATCTTTTGCAGGGGTTGTTTTAATCGAAACATTTGAGTTTACATTTTTGGGTCTTTTTATTCGTTTATCTTTTTATTAATGTTATACTACATTATGTCAGTGGCGGTTATAATTAAAAATTTACTACATTTTTTTTATATCGTCTAGTAGAGGATGAATGAATGATAATTTTAATTGCACTAATCACAACACGCATAGTTAGTAATTATATAAATTGAAATAATGAATTACAAAAATAAAATAAATGTATAGACCATTTCCTTTGCAAGGCACACCTAAAGCTGAAGAGCCTTGCAAGGGATACGACGTGAAGATAGAGATAGAAAGATAGTTGTGCAGCTCAGAGGTTAGTTTTGTGACCCAATTATTGAATTAAGGTCGTATAAGTGGGATTTTTGTTACATATTTGCGAGTAAATAAAAGGTCAATTGCAATACTGACAAAGTGGGAGAGTGTTCGAACGATCATATAATTTAATCCTGCTCCTAAAAATTGAAAAAAGAGTGTCTAGCATGGTACCGATATATTGTGAGAAGGGATGAAATGAGGGTAACTAAGAGGATGATGGAGACGGATATTGATGAATGGAGAGTAAGATGACCACAGAAAAGAGGGATGGACTGTGTGAGGCATGATATGAAAGTGAAGCGAGTGTTATGATGGCTGACAGAGAAGAGCGGATGAACAGGATATACTGCGCCGACCCCACATAGATTATAGGCAGGAAGATGATGACTCATGTCAAGTTCTTAGTAATAACTATTCATCATATTTTAAATATATTATGTGTGAGCTTTACAATTGTAAATTTTAACTCTTCTCATGGCTTCACCACACTAAAACTATGTATGTAACTTAAAACCGTGTGCACCATTCCATACGCTTCATAACGGGAGCTTGTCCCCAGGTTCTATGGGTGACAACTTTAAGGAGTCAAAGTCTACGGAGAGTTTGAACACACATTCAGTGGGTGAGTAAAGCTGACAGTTGTACAGTTCGAGTCAAACGTGGCAAACGAAACGAATTTTCTTTATACTTCGCAAATGAATAACATCTCTCTCTTTCTCTCTCTCACTATTGCCTTCTATAAACTGACTCCAACTTTCTCTTTCACTTGTTATATTATGTTACGATCAAAGATCGAATTTCCTCATTGAGCGAAAATCTAGTTCACAACGCGTTGCGGCAATTGCAGAATAACCACATAGCGAAATTCGTGTTACGGCTCTAATTAAAACGCTTACGACGCGTTGTGGCAATCGTAGAATAACCACACAGTGAAATCGTTTCGTGGCTTACATGCTATTCGACCTCATTGTGGCAATGGATTTTAAAGAACTTACCGTTGGTACGAGATTGAGTAGAGTCATAAATAGCTACTTGACAGTTATAACAATAATAATTTAAATATGTTGGTAATGGCAACTTATGTTTATATTTGTAGTATTTTTAAAATATTTTATTTTTGCAAAATTAACTCATGATTTATTTAATCTGTAGATCATAAGAACGCTATTGGCCATAACGGAGCATCGTAAGACGTCATATCAGTAAACTGAACGTCCCAACTCGAAATAGGTAACTCGTTGTTTTTGCGGGACAGTTAAAATTAATGATTCAAAATATGTTGCCAATTTTTGAAGAAAAATGAATCTGATAGTGGTTTTTTAAGCTCATATGAAAGTTATAAAAACTTTTCCCTAACAGTCAAGTAGTCAATTACAGACGAATTACAGTGTGTTATGGTAAATCGTCAAATTGAAGATAAACCTAGTATGAGATGCTTCAGTTAAAGAGATAGGTGGCGCTATACAAATATTTGCCATTAGCGCTCGATACGTATTCGATTCGCACTCTGATTTCTCATTTTTCATACATTGTTTATATTCGCATTTTAATAAGGTGAAGGGTGCTTTATGTTTCTTTAGTTTTGTGCTAAAATATTTAAAACTATGTGTATATATTTATGACACAATATTAGCTTCCTATTTTTATGCTAGTTCAAAAAGAGAGAGATTTGAATATTTATATTGTTTTTAAAACTAAATGTTTTCTTCTGTATATTTACCTAAGTTCATGATCAATAAATTCAGATCGATAAAAATTTTGAATTTTATCTGTATTGTTATAAGGTATGAATTAGAAGACATATAAAAAATCAAGTTTCACATCATGAATCATTTACATTTATGTTTGTGCAAATTTACTTTGAATCATGTGTTTATTGCTTTAACAATTAGGGATATTATATTTTAGTTTTTTTTTTTATGTTTGCAAATAGTTTCAAACATACAATGTCTACGACCGAATGGACGTGAAAAATTTGTGCTTACAAAACAACTTCAAATATTTATAGGCTGATGGAGAGTTTTTTTGATAGTATTTAATGTCAGATATAAATATATCGAGAAACAAAAACTTTTTATGCTACGCCGGCGAGGAAGCAGCAATCTTCTTTTTATTTATTTTAGCGTTAGTCTGGCCATAGAAAGGAGCGTTAAAAGTGAATAAACGATATTTTTTATCTTCTTAGTAAAATACTTAATTGAAAATGTCTAGTATCTGTATATAGTTACGGTATCAATAATAAAATATAACATTTTTTATGCAATATTTACATAAAACTTATCGTGTATAATACGTATCGATGAGCAGGCAGCAGTCTATCGGACGTATCTATTGGCGAGCCTCGTCTCGTGTCCGCTGATCCCGCCGCTGCCGCCGCCGCCACGCAGAATAACCGCGACATCATACACCACGATCACAAGGAGAAGTAAGATACTAATACTATAAAGAGGTTAAATTCCCAACTTTGCATGTAGGTGATAATCTTTGGAAATACTGATCCAATCATGAAAATTCTTTCCCCTATGGGAAGCTACATACTGAGTTTGGGAATCCCCTACAATTTCAAAGTCGAAGGAATTCCCAGGTACTCGAAACTTTCAAGAAAAAAATTATTTTTTATTTTCAAAAGGAGCCTTTTCTAATAATTTTAATTAAAATTTTTTAGTGATACCTATTTAAAAAAAGGCAATTTGTAATCTTTTACTTAATAAAATATCATGTACTATGAAAGAAAAACTATTTGTGACAGGAAGGGCTTAGGCGTTGCCGTTCGCCGCGTGCTCGGTGCCAGTACAGCCAGAAGAGCTTCCTCCTTCACGTCAGTGGAACAGTTTACAAAGAAACAGTCTGGAACAGTCGATGTTTGGTGGCTGTACGACGATGGAGGTACGTTATATTAATAGAATCAGGCGTCACCTCTGTGATTGTGGAACTACAGTTTCTAGCATTCTAGCATCTTCCACACAGTATTTGCAGGCTTAATAGTCTAATTTATAAATCTTTCGCAGTCCCTTTTATGTGTATTGCTTTTGTAATTACGATTATTTAATTGTATAAAGTCGCACTGCTTTCGGAATAAATGAAAAATTGTGTTGTGATGATCAGGAAAAAAACCTAAGTAACTTAAAACATAGATACACATAAAATGACATTTGCGTCTAACGTGAGTCTCACACAATTCCAACGAACGTTAAATAAACGACATCGTTCATTCATTACCTATTTAAAAAAGTCGCAATCGCTCTCACATGTCAAATAAATGTAGAACAAGTTCGCGATTATCTTTCTAATGGTAAATTGAAAACTATTACGAATGATTTTAAAATTAAACAATTAGTTCTATGCGGGCTGTGGACACCGCCCGCCAACAAAATGCATTAGCGGCAAAAAAATCTTTAGAATTTGATAGTTCTCACAGTCCTCCGTGCAGATACTCACTGGATGTGGCGATTGCTGCATATTTATTTACTTGACCAGTATTAGAATAGTACAAGGCGGACTTAATGCTAATAACATTCTCTCCCAGTCAGCCATTGGGAAAATTGACAAACGCGATGGCGGTACAAAGCAATAAAAATAGGTGAATAATTTAAATAAAACTACAACAACAATAATACTAAACTAATCATAAACATACTACAAAATATAACACACCGAAAATATAAATAAACTTATACATAGGTATCTCTAAGTAAATAAACCTAAATAAGCCACCGTAGATGCCTTCGCTGTCGAATTGGAGGCCTTTTTAGCTGAAACTGATTATTGGAAACATGGTCGCCAGAAGACAGAATGTGAAACGAATAGCATTATATAGTAGCATTAAAATTATCGTAGTTTCATAGTTGATGTTTAAGGAAAATCAACGGAATGAATGAATTTATAAGAATAACTTTAGAATTGTTTTAATATTTCGATGATAAATGAGCTTACAATAATTCACTCTATTTACTTATTTAATTTTTCAACAATGCATTAAGATGTTAAAAAAAAGTATCATTAAAAACGTCTCTATCGACTCAGTTGGTATTATCGAGCTGTAGATTTTTTAATTTTCCATAAGTATAGTCATCATTATTACCATTGCGTTAAGGAGGATGGGCCATGACCCTCCACGCTGGCCCAATGCGGATTGGAGGATATTAACGACTGCAAATACAGCCGGGACCAACGGCTTAACGTGTCTTCCGAAGCACGGAGTAGCTCGAGATAATAATTTTTGTTCACCCATCTCGTGACCGACCCTTGCGAAAGTTGCTTAACGACAACGATCGCGGGCCGCGGCGCTTATCCACTACGCCACCGAGCTATAAGTATAGTAATTTGTTTATGTTAGGTTCTGTAAAGAGATTTTTTTTTCAGCTCAGCCTACTGAGCCTTACATGTCAACAAAGATATGGAGGTTTATTATTTATATTATAGTTTTAAAATTGTATGCACTCTCACTTAAATATGAAGAATAAATATGTCACTTTCTATGGCATGTGCCACATATGCATACGCACAATATGTCAAACCACAATTTATTTTGAATTTAACTATGAACAGATAAGGTTTAGAATCGATTGAAAATTTTTTTATCATTCCTGATAAAAAAAAATTCAATCGATTCTATTTTCGATTTCGATTTTGTGTTCACGGGACAGTCGCCAGCATACCCAACTAACTACAAAGGGTTAAATTTCTTTAATTAAATATTAAGTTTTAATCAGTTAAAAATAAAGGTATAAATTAGTTATGTAAATTTGAGTTTTTAGTTAAGTAAGTTGAGTGGTCGTGTGTACGCAGGTCTGACGTTATTGCTGCCTTACATTTTGTCAACGCGTCGCGCGTGGGCGTCGTGTCCGCTGCGCGTGTTCACGCTTGCCAACAAGAATACAGAGCTAGAACTGGAGGAGAGGAAGTCAGTATTACTCGTATTTATTATAATATTGTCATTTTTTGTGATGTTTTATTTTTTTTTTAATATTCAAGTAAAGAAAAAAAACATTAGAGACCATATACAAATATTTTTTATTATTTATTAACACCAAGCTAGATAAACGAACCATAGTATTTCTTATATGATTAAGATGAAATAGATCAGTCTTAAAATTGCTTTTGAACGTATTTAACAGTGGTATTTGTGTTTATTATCGAGAAGTAATTAGAAGGTCAGCCATAAAAAAATTTGGTTAGCCACAAAAATCAGTATTTTAATCGTTTGATCAGCATTTAAAGATTTTGTATGCAAGAAAAATAAAACAATCGGCAATCCTTGTTTCGCAAATAATCTTGATAATGATCAGTAATTTAATCGTATACAGTCAGCTTAAAATAATATGTGTATGTCAAATAAACAGTCTATCCCCAAAATAACTACTTGATCAGAAAAATTCAGGATTGGTCAGCAAGAAATATTTGTCCGGTTAGCAGTTCATTTGATCGGTTAGCGTATTTAAAGCATGGTTAGAAGAATAACTAATTGGTTTGCATTATTATTGAAAAGTCTGCAATGTACGTTAAAAGTGGGCGGAGCAAGAGCAGTCGCATGATACTAGTAGCCGATCGCGTGCGTGTATTGTCATTCGGTCTGTATGCGGCGATTAGTAGCTGTCAAATTACAGTGATAACAACTTGTTTTATGTTAATTAGTGTGAATTTTGATATTTTGCGAGTGTTATATGAGTAGGGGAGACCTAGGAGAGTTGTGATAATTTTTACATAACATAGCTCTATCTCGCTTAAGAAACATTCCACAGTTATGACTCATATGAATTAGTTTAGCGCCATTCCTTCTGTTTTCAAAACCATCACTAAAATTAATTAAAGTATAATAGTTGCTGAAAAAAATAACAAAATTCAAGTCCACTCCCCTTGTCACAACTCTCCTACCACCGAGGTAAGTTGTGACAGGTACCGAGGTAAGTTGTGACATCATTGTATTTAAGCTATACGATATAAAAATACCATTACATACGACATAAATAAATCAAGCACGTTTTTTTATCAAATCAGTACTTTAATCAGTACTATAATAATAAATTTAACTTGGAAAACACACACTGAACATGTTTGCAAAAAGTTGTCCCAGTATTCTTGTGCACTGTACAAACTTAGTAGGATCGCGAATCAGTGCACGGTCCTTACAGCTTATCACGCGTACGTAGTTTCAACTGTTCGATACGGCATTATATTTTGGGGATATTCGACTGATTCTGTAACTGCCTTTAGAGCCCAGAAAAAATGTGTTAGGAGCATATGTCATTTACAGAGTACGGATACCTGTAGGCCATATTTTATTAAACTAAATATTATGACGCTGCCATCAATCTATATATTCGAAGTTGGTATTTTTGTCAAACAGAATCAACTACTATTTGAAAATAAGACGAGATTGCGTCATCAAGACAAATTGTGTACGATATACTCTAAGACAGCTCTGTTGAACAAAAGTATCTTTTGTATGGCTCCAAAAATTTGGTGCGAAATTGACCAATTACAACGCGTGAAAGCAAACGGAACAAAAACGAGCTGTGCATTTTAAGCGTTGTCATTGGTCAATTTCGCACCGCTCCGCTCCGCCTCAATGGAAACGCAGTCTTATCATGTCCCCACCGAGGGGCTCGAGCCTACCCTGATCAGGGTGATTGGGCCATAGTCCACCACGCGGGCCCAGTGCGTATTGGCAGACATTAACGACTGCTACACTGTAGGTAGCAGCCGGGACCTACGGCTTAACGTGCCCTCCGAAGCACGGATCATCTTACTTTCGGACAATCAGATGATTCAGGCCTGCAATGTCCTAACCAAACTAGGAAAAACTCGCATAGAAATATTTGAGAGTGTCCCCACCGGGAATCGAACCCAGTACCTTCGGATCGAGAGCCTAACGCTCTAACCACTAGGACACGTAGGCAGTTAATTTAATTAGTTATAGTTAGTTTACTCTAAATACCCATTCATTATTTTTGTAAGGAATGCGCCCATTTTGCGCCAGTCATTATTGCTATTTTTATATGCTTCACAAAATTAGATTAGTTGCTTCCCTCTAAGTTCTGTTCAAAATTGTATTAAACATGCGTCACTCATTGCAGCTTATATGATTATTATGCTAATAAAAAATAATTATAGCCGTCTAGAATGTAAAAAATTGTCGATTGATTTGATATTGTTTGCTAGCCATGGTCTGCTGACCAATCATATATTTCAACTGACAGAATACATTTTTCTGCTAGCAAAAATGTGAATACTATGCTAACCCGTTAAATAACACCCTTTATTATCTAGGCATGTATTAAAATTGATGTTTCTGATTATTATATTTGATCAATTCTGCATTCACCATGCTGTACTGAAAAATATTCTTAATGAAAAATGCTTAAAAAATCCTCTTTGCCCCTGTTACTTTGAGATTGAACTCAAAACCATGACCTTTGCCATCCGGGCGACTGTTTTAACCACTGAGCTACCCAGGATCTAACAAGACTGATAAATTTTCCAAGCACTTGTTCTTGGAAAATTTATCGCTACTACAGAGATGGTTCTGTTTCATCCATCCATAAAATACATAACATGATTCAAAATAAGGGTTATCACGTCTTATTTTTTATGTAATATCACAAAATTTCATTAGTATTTACAATGTTAAGTCCATTAGTATTTATAATAATTTAAAAGAATAAAATTTTATTCATATGCAAAACTGGATTTTGTGGGCTAGTCGATAGAGTTATAATTACGCGTACACGATTACGCGAAAACAAGTACGCGTTAGATCGTGGTGACGACATAATGTTTTCTCCTGGTTTAAACCCGCCCTTACTATATTTTTTTTATAAATCCTCAGTATGGCGTCCCTTCTATCAAAGTTTCGCATCGATTATTCTGCACTCAAGATGATACCAGATATCACAAAGAAGCCGCGCGACTCAACACTTGCCTATTTCGACAAGCTGATAGCACCCTTCATGGTCGCAGACGATAAGGATGATGGTATGTATGCTTTTATATTCTCTTGTAGGATAGGTGCACCAAAACAATTTTTTTCCCCGAGCTTTTGTCTTCCAATTTGTCGACGTAATTAACGTGCAAGTGCATAAGTAACATGCTAAATTACAAATTTCTAGTACCAATAGTTTTTAAGTAAACTAAGGACGGACGAACATGGTTAAACTTTGTTGACTACGGAGTAAAAAGGATATAGATGGGTGTATAGCTCACTATACACCCATCTATATCCTTTTTACTCCTCAATACACCTCAGTGTATGCTGTGTGCAGGGGAGGGTATTACCAGTGCGGACCTAGTGGCAGCGCGCGACCGCACGTACCGTCATTTGCGGCTGCGCGAGCTGATCATGTCCGAGTCGAGCGGCGCGCGGCTCGTGTGCGTGACCCTGCCACTGCCGCGCCGCCGCGGCGTCGTGCCCCCGCCGCTGTACACCGCCTGGCTGCACGCCATCGCCACCGCCGCCGACCGGCTGCTGCTAGTGCGCGGTAACCACGCCGCCGTACTCACCTTCTACTCGTACGTATACACATACATATATACATACATATACACCGCCTGGCTGCACGCCATCGCCACCGCCGCCGACCGGCTGCTGCTGGTGCGCGGCAACCACGCCGCCGTACTCACCTTCTACTCGTACGTATACATATATACTACGTATTCTAGCCATAAATTCTGTTACTGGCTACTTACATACATTAAAAAAAATCATTGATTTGAATTTCGAAAATAATAATAAATTTATTTATTTCTCAGTATCCCAGTTACAATTTTGTCTTATAGTTGGTAGTTAAGTATAAATAAGGAAACATAAATTCTCGGATTATCATACAAGATTTAGGTCTAGGGGCTTACTGGAGATCACAGAACATAGAGAGAGAATAGAAGTAGTAAGTGGGCGGGGCACGCGTCGCTGGCATATGCGCTTTTACTCATATGACGCCCTTTCCTCGGTTTTATGTTTGCCAGTCGTTCGTCAATCGTCGAGTGGTGGTTTTACAGATTTTTTCTATAAAAAATGCCGTTTTGTGCTATTATCACTTGCAAAAAGCAAAGCAAAGTATTCAATCTAACTAATGCAAACATTTCCTTTCACTGGTAAGTACAATTTTAGTGCTAAAATATAAAAAACGTAATAATTTGACACAATGTTAAATAAAATATACATTGATTGCTCAAACCAACATCAATGTTTCTGACCCCATTACTTAACAGCAATGTAAATCATTTTGTGCACTTTTGCAAAAATAGTGCTGTGCCTCCATTTGTCTGAAATGTACCGATAGGCTGCTGCTGCTCGGAATCGTATTGTTAATTATATGGATCGTAATCGATAACTAAAACATATTTATTTAGAGCTTTTCTTTCATCATTTCATAACAACGTTATCGATAAATATATGCCATAATTATATAAAACTAAAAAATACTGTTTACAAGGGAAAATTATAGATGAACTGATACTGAACAAATGAAATAATGAACTGTCCAGTAACTTTTTTTACGAAGATTTGGTTAATTATTTACACGCAGATATATATTAAAAATTACTGATGTGCTATAAATATCTAAGTTACGAAGTATATCACCGTTTTATGAACAATACATAAACGAAACTTCGTGAAAAGCTAAGAGTTGGCCTAATAGGTCTTGTTAGAAACTGGTGAAACTGGATTTCACTTATTTTGCATTACTATTACAGTTTCCCTAATAACTTTACAACGGATTGCCTTGTTTACGTAATTAATTTTGCCCTATCTGTTTTAGACCTAAACCTATCAAATGAATTTCAAAACAACAAAATATCTATACAAACAAAACATTATGTTTTCAACTAACGTAATATTGTTGGTGGTGTGAATTTAATTTACAAAATTAATTTTTAGGCGTCAATTTAATTAACCTTATTATGCTGATTCATAATCGGAAACTATTATTATAGAAATCGAGTTAAGAAAGCCACTTTAAAGAACCGCCCACAGAACAGCTTTTATCAGTTTTTTTGTTGCTCCATATTTGCACATAAGTTTATAGACGCATGTCTCAAATGGATGTGACTTTACATGTAGATTGACGTTTGTACGTACTTATCGCTTTTGTGTCTATCTTCAAACTTTTTTTGTCACGGCTTTCAAACTCATACTTGACCAGCAATTCCTTATTGTCCAGTCGTTGCAATTAATAATATAGCTACTACTATTATTACAGATATAAAATTTAGAATAATAAAGTAAAACAAACATGGCTATGATCAATTTATTAGTGTAATGATCATATTAGTTATTATGAAATGAAATGAAAATATCTTTATTCAAGAAGGCTATTACAAGCACTTGGAATGGCAAGTTTATTTTTATTTCTACTTTTTTTTTGTGAAGGAATCGTAATGTTTTCTTGCGTACATAATATTTTCATTGATGTATTGAGAGGCAACAGTCAAAATATTTATTTCTTTAAATATTTCTCTGAGAGATTCTCTAGACCGTAAATTATATATAGCGTGGACAGCTCTCTTTTGTAGAATAAAAATATCTTGAATGCTAGCCGCAGAACCCCATAACAATAGATTATACGTCATTCATTACACTATGAAAATAACTAAAATATACCAATCTTGCCGTTTCAACATTTGTTAAGAGTCTAATTTTCTTAATAGCAAATGCTGCAGAACTCAGTCTACTTGACAAATTATCAATATACCAAAATACCAAGGAACTTTGTCGATTCCACCATCTCAACTTTTTCACTATTTACATTTATAAGTATATTAACATGCCTCACATTAGGTAATGCAAACTTTATGTATTTCGTTTTATTTGAATAAAGCTTTAAATAATTACTATCAAACCACTGTAGAAAATTGTCGAACTGAATTACATTGAACTGTTTCATGACAAAATTTAAAGCTCTTATTTTATCAACTAATATGTCACATCACTAATATGCACAATCGGAATGATACCAGTAAGAAAAAAATACAAATTAGGCTTAATGTAATTAATACAAAAATTCTGTTGTTTTCTTAATTTTTGTTTTTTTTACACTTTCCCTCGCTTAATTATATTACTCCACAGACATACGATAGAGTGTATCATTAAGTTTTCTTAGTTTTTGTACTGCGTTTTTTAAAAGATATTTTAATAAATTATGTAGGGAAAAGCCTTAATTTTTCAGTATTCACTTGGTTACAGCAAAATCTAATATTAATAGTTCGCACATAAAATGATGACCCCAATTTTTTTAAATGTGCATAATCTTAAAATATTTTTTTCCTTCTGGTATCCCCATATACAGCCACGTGACAGTTCAACATTCATGTTAAAGTAAATTATTTATTATCACGTTGAATTAGAGTTTGTTTTTAATCGTGTGATTTCTTAGCTTAGGATCTTTTTGGGATTTGATTTATGTTATCGCGAACCTATCGCGTGGCGGTTTTTCATGTAGTGAACAAAATGATCATTTCATCTAATCTGTATTTGTGTGCGGAGAGGCGACACTCGGTTCCCATACTAAATTAATATCATAATACTTCTAATCTCTCTCTATGTTCTGTGCTGGAGATACACAGGACATACCTTAAATCAGGCACTAAAACAAAAGAGAGTCGAATTTGCAGAATTATGCAGAATAGTTGGTGATCACTAATTTATTGTAGTATTTGTTGTTCCAAATAATATTCATAACTTTTCACCCTCTTTTTTTACTTACTAACATCGGAGATGAAGGATAAAAAGACGCATGTAAACAAGATATCGATAAGATAGTTTCGTTATTCAAAAATAAACACATAATCCCCGAAAATTCAAATTAACATATAAATAAATAAATATACTGGTTAGAGTCGTAAAATTAACAGTACACTAGGATCAGTTTAAGATCAACTTGCGGAAATTTGAGATATAACGCTGCTGTGTGTGCACTTTATGTGATATTTTCTTTTCTTTTATGTTAACATATCTAAATATTTCAGGTAATTATCGCCGTCAGTTCGCCCATAATGATCGCGAGCTTCATACACGACCTCGACTGGTGTAGGACTAAGCGCTGTCGTATGTACGTGAATATTGTACATATACATTACGAAAGATCTAAATTATTTGAATCTTTAATTCCGCCTTCTAAACTAGTGACTTTTGATTAAATCGACAGTATAAAAATGAAATTTTCGACTCGAATTTTACATGTAATCATGGTGTTATCTCTTATAGAATCCAGTGTAATCTGCTTAACATTATAGGTCATTTTGATAAGTAACTTGTACCTAGGTTTTAAACTGGTGTTTCCATACTACATTGTCTGGCGTGGTTTCCTATAAAAATTGTGATCAAAGTCACTTTTGTAGGAGAACTATAGTTAATAATATATAAAAAAAAGTTTTAAATGTCGTATGACTAAGTTTAGACATCACAATTATTAGTTAATCATGAAAAATATCACACGGTGTTGTCTGTTCTATTTAAGAAAGATTCTGTGCAGTCACCTTTGAGTTTAAAAATACATAAATATTTTTAAAGTATTTAGTTTTCCAATTAGAAGATCTTCAACTTTTTGAAGGATACAGTTTCGGTATGAAAACATAAAAGAAATTGGAAATGACTTCAGTGGCAAATAACCAATTAATGAAAAGGCGACATTTATAACACTGCATACAAAAGTAAATCTTTTGTACGACCAACGATTTTTTACAATGTTGTACAGCTGCTAGTATATCAAGCTACTACAACAGTGCAAATCTGATGTGCTGCTGTGTGTACAATAAATCATCATAAAGGATGAACACCATTTTAGAATTTGTTCGATTTTACCTAATTTAAAATTGATTTTGTTTTAACATTTTTATTTTTATGACATTCCTTTATTTATTTATTTATTTGTAATTTTAGTACAAATATAGGTTTTTAAATTAATGTTAATATTTTACCATGCATTAACAGTGAAGTTTTTTGTTTTACATTTTTTATTTAGATATAACAATGACAATATCTACATTAGAATAATTTAATTCCAATAAAAAAAATGCAACACAATTATTCAAATATATTAATTTTGTTTTGTTTACATCATGTTCATTGATTGACCAGTGAAGTCTGATTAATTAAAATGTAAGATTAAAATAAGATACTAATAAATTTGACACTTTAATACTTGCACTTGAGAGGTTTTCATTTTTAATATCATTACCTATAATTACCGATATAATTAGCATATAATTACCGATGCCTCTACATACACAACCGTACATCTTCTTTCCATAGCCAATTTGACGATAAAAAACTGAAATTCAAAATCTATATTTTTGCATATTAATTATGAAATACTTTTTTTTTTTTGTAATTCACATGTCCTGCTTGTATTAATTTAAGAATGTGTTCAAAAAAACCTTATATATATTACCAAACAAACAGATTAAAGGTAAAAAGAACACGTTTTTACGTTAAAATAGTTAACTCGAGTGTGTGGGATTTTTTAAATGTATCTGAGTTTTACATGCTTCAATTGATGTTTTCATTTCTTTGCTTCATAAGTTAGTATAATGTCAGTCGTTGTGCACAGCGTTGTGACAGCGTAGAGCTTCAATGAAATGAAACCTTTATTACCTTTTACTGTTAGCGCCATCTATTGACAAAATGAAGGAAACATTAATACAAAGTATAGAGCAAAATTATTTGTGTGCCGGATACATAATTTTAATTTCTTTTATAATGTTCCATTATTGCACCTACAATAAAGCCGTGAAATTGCATATTTCACGGCTTTAGGCTTAAAGAATGGCCGCGGCATAGTTCCATTACAATAAATTAAGAGTATATGAATACGTTAAAGAAGGTGCCTTGTTCTAGTGATTGGATTCGAGAATATTTGGCCATGTGTATTTTTGGATAATATCGACATTTATAAAATTTTTGTACACTTATACAATTTCATAAGTTTAGATCTGTTTGTGTAACTATAATAATACGTAAAATTAAGACTATTGTAACGTAAATACAATAATTTGATACTCGCGTATTTGACAGATTTTTGACATGATCTTTACAATTTTAATGTAAGTAGAATTTACAGTGCTTTTATATGTGTAGCGAAAAATATTTTTGTTGTAGTTAAAAACTGCACTGAATTGATTTTGATATATATTTCAGCTTACGTGTATATTATGGATTTAAAGAAGTATCTAGTTGTCGGATGTGAATTTTGTAAATTTTTTCGTTTATGTAAGGAGTTATCACAATGTTGTATTTATTTGATGCTGTTTTATTATATATTTAATTACGGTATTGTAAACAGGATGTATAATTTATATGATCAATGGTGCGATTGTGTAGACACCCCTCTATTATAGTTGTATAATTTATTGTAACCTACTATTGTACGAATAATGAAATGGAGTGTGAATAAATTATATTCAAATTAAGTTGCGCTGTTATTATTATTTTGATTGGTTCCTATACCCTATACATGTTTTTAATAAAGATCAAATAAGTCGTCTTAGCACTGCACTGAGTGTGTCAGTATATTTTTCATTACTGTGAATTGCGGAATTCAACTATTTTTAACAGATTCCAAAAGGAGGTTATCAATACAGTAGAATGGCGCAATATTCATTGTGTTAGATTATATGAGCTTCTACGTGTGGTAAATATTTTAAGTGTGTATGTATGTATGTTTATACATATATTTCTTGTAAATTAGACGTCGGATCGCAATGACTTTTATTTAATTAGCTATTAATTTGGAGAATACCAAAGTTTCATCAAAAAAGTTAAAAAAATTTAAAGATATGACTCATTGAAATTGAATATTGATAACCTACACAAAATTGTAATATTATTAACTTGCACAAAACCTATGTCCGATTATAACAGAAGTTTTTTGCATTATCTTTTATTACATTTCTTGGGCATTAACGTGATATATCTTGTATACATATATATATAACGTATCTTGGGCATTATAATGAATACAATATGCATATATATAATGCGAAACTAAAACACATTAGTATTATTTTTGTTATAATGAAAGTAAACGTTTCTTTTCTCAGGACCCAGTATTTTTGAACAAAATAAATATTGATCTATGAACGTGACGAAATGACGAAACAGAGAACCAGCCGGTCATTCTTCGGCTTCCATAAAAGCTATTGCATTATTCAAAAGAATTGTTTTAATTCTAGGTAACTATTTGAATAAAATACTATCGAGTTTAAAGTACCTATTCTATCAATACCTGCTTCCATGGAAGTTAGGTGGCCTTTTTATTGTATATGTATGTTGTTTATATGTATATCGACCGTCTGACTTATTGAAAATCTATTAAAAATTCTATCAAATATTCTATTAGGTACATGAGCGTAGTTTTGTCTAAATGCATTGCGCATCGGTATTTCCTGCAATAGCAAATGAATCAATTCTAAATATTCCTATTATTGATATGCGCGCCAAAATTGCCAGATGCACGCTCAACACGAACAAACGGCATAATAAATAAGTATAACTGATAAATAATTTCCCGCTAACGAGTTATCAGTCATTACTAATTAAAGAAAATCGTTATAGAAGTGAGATGAATGATTCGTCATTAGAATTAGTTTATCGCGGGAGTTCATCATACAAATGTAATTAATTAGTGACTTACATCTGTTAATATATTGAAAAAGTTTTTTAAAAACAAGCTTTTATTTGTTCGCAATAAAACATAAATAAATAAATTAAATTTACTCTAACAGTAATTGGCTTGAAAACCTTGTAGCGCTAATGAAATCAGAGACAAGGAAATACCCATATTTTGAGACTATAAGCAAATAAGACGAGAGAGAAGCAAATAAGCTTACATAAGCAAAACATATAATGTGGACTTATTTACATGTTAGTTACATATTTAAAAAAAGAGTAAAAATTAATTGTGAGCAAAAAAGAGAAAACTTGATTATAAATTGGTTTTTGATCATTACAAATAAAAAGAACATTCTCAACCGTAGATTTATCTAATTGACAACTGAAATATTTAGATGAGATAATCGTGGTCGTATGCCGTTTAGATCTGGGGACCATAGATCTAAATGGCATACGACCATGTGTTTTGTGAATGGAGTATTTCCATCGGAGAAAACAAAAAGAAATTCCATTTAGTCCGTCAGTCAGCTAATAGAAAAATAGTATTTATTTATTTAATATACCAAGAAATGGTTTAGATAATAGGCATTTAAGTCGAGGTGTGGGGGGCATCCCTCTAACATAAGTTGCCTCAATTTCCTTTTGAATTTATTAAGACCTTTCGATAGCTTTCAATTCAGTCGGCAGGGCGTTAAAAAGTTTAACTGCTTGATATCGACTGGGTTTTACAATATTTATTTTGGGTAAAGCGAAATCTTTATGTCATTTCTTTTATTGTTTAATCTCATCTTCCCAGATGTTGCCATTTTGTATTTATAATTATGTTTCAAAATATCCATGACTCCAAAATATCCAGACAGGTTAGTATACTAAGGTAATATACTCTACAAGACTCCCATGGCGATATAGATAGATAGATAAAGTAGTTTACTTGCATTACAAACACACATGGATACATGTAAGATAAATTACTACAATATTATAAAATGAAAGTAAATAAAACTACAACAAAAACACAATTATGACACATGTAAAAAAAATTAGTGTCTATTACAGCGACGCAAATAGGCAAAAGCTCAGCGATACTTTCACTCAGAGTGAGCAAAACTCTGATTTTCAGCTTTTGCCTGTATGAAGGGGCAAGGACACGTACAGTCAACAAAATTTCTGCCTACCCCGTCTTAGGCGATATTTGCTTGCATCTGTAAAATACCACCCATGGCTAGCCTGCTTGCAATGGCCAATAGCGTCTTCTTTGGGCGGGGTTGTCATGAAATACAATACAAATGAACATTGACAAAAAATGAACAGGGTTTATGAACGTCTCGGTGTTTCTGAATTTGCCTTGTGGACCTCAAAAATTGAAATTGCCAAGTAAAAATAAAATAATACAATTGTGTATTGTTAATGGGTGTAATATACAATGAATTTCAAATATAAAGTTACTGTATGAAGAAAAATAAGTAGGTATTCGAATAACTAACTATTCAAATATTTGATTAAAGTATTCTAACCAAATCTTATTCATTATTTTGAATCTGATTGTTGCAATATTAAGAATGCATTAAAATTACTCGAAATATATTCAGTAATAATTAAATTATACAAAATTCATTGACCGTTATTTTTTAGATAAAGTAAGTATTTTATTAGTAAGTATATATTAACTATTATATTTAAACACACACTGCTCAATTCAAAATATTTATAATGACGAAGTTTACGAAGATGCTACGAAAAGATTAATTTTTAAAATATATCTAAATATTGATAAAAACTAGAAAATTACTATAAAAGTCATGTAATTATTCACATAATCATAGCATGCACGATTTAATGATCGAATTATGTAATTAAAAAAATTAAAAGTTCACGAGAGATTCGCACTGTAGCGGGAGTGACTAGTTAAATTACGATTTATAATTTTTAACCCTTCTGGGAGTCGATAGAAAAGGTTTTGATTATTTATACTTAACCGGTCAATAACCAAAGACCGAAGAGAAAGTGATCGGTGATTCTCTTACACCATGCAATATAGGGTACCGCAACCACGTGTTTGACCTGTTAAATAATAGTTAAATTAGTATGAAACGTTAAATAAAATTTGCTAGAATAAAATTATTATTCTAGCAGATTTTATTTAACGAACGCAAACGTAAAAGTCGTAGGTATTATTATGATAACAATGATTTTAAAAATGTTTCAACAATTGTTTCGCACGGTGTAACAGTTACTCTGTTAACAGCTTATACCATGATGCATATTTTTGAAGCAAAGAAATGTTGTCTTCGTGAAATTTAAAGTCCTTTGTATAAATATATTTATACCTACCTTTTTATGTCTTTTTGTTCAACTTTTACTTGGACGACATAAATTATGCAGTAATACCAATTAACATTTTTATGAGGAAAATCTAAATATATAAATATAAGCCGCATCTAAATATAAAAGGTAAGTAATTAAAGTATTCTAAGCAACTTTCAATAATTATTTTGATTGTTGCAATATTCAGAATGAATTTAGAATTACTAGAAATATGTGAAGTAATGACTAAATGAAACAAAATATATTTACTTATTTTTTTTTTTAATATTAAAAACTAAACTATATAAAAAAATTAACTATGTGCCTGCTTTCGCAGGCACCACATTGGCAGCCAGTCGCTCGCTGTGAAGCGGGCGATGGCGCCGGTGCCAACAACCGTACCGGCGTCAGACGCTGTGTTATTTGTGTGCCCTCAGAAGATGACGACAGCTCCGAAATCGCCATCGATGGTGATGCCGATGAAGGCGATGCGGTTGAAGGCGGTCGCCATGAAGATGCTGATCGCGACGGCGACGAAGGCGATGCAGCCCTTTCCGACGCCGGCACCGACGGCTGTGCTGATGCACTCGGCGTTGTGTGCTTCCAGCAACAAGTGAAGCTATAAAAATATAAATTTTGTATCTTTAATGATATTGTTTTTTATTTTATCAACCAAAAATTTTATATTTTAGTATACATCGCACACCTAGATCTAAACTGAGACAACTCAAAAATTTGAGTGAGTTTTAACTTAGTACAATATTCAAATACACGGTGATCATACGCATCTATCCAACATGACAGATTCAATAAAGGTTCGGGGATGAGCCGCTAGATAACTTTAGCTTTCTTTTGTTGAATCAACAGTGGTCGTGCTCCTGCCATGTAAACAAATGTATTGTCAGACCTCCACATTAGTCTTTTGAGTTGTCTAAGTTAAGATCTAGGTGTGCGATATAATAAAATAAAAAAATAAATTAAATCAATATATATTGTAATTAAAATTTTCATAAATTAAAAAATAAAATAACCAATAAGCATAAAAATAATATAAAAGATTAATAAAATTCAATAATTTAATTACCCAATGGATATACAATTATAATAAACAAACATTTAAACTAATGCTTTTGATAGGCTCGGAGGCTTGCATTTTGTACCCATCTACGCTACTGTTAGTACGTACACCAAAATTTGAATTTCTAGTAAATCAAATTTTAAATGTTTTTTAAAGGTAGACTTTGAAGTAAGGCACTTTATTGGAAGGGGTATATCATTCCAGCACTTAGTATGTTATCAGTCACATGGAGAAGCGCCGTGACAGTAATACTGTAGTAGTAATATTATAAGAATAGCCGTTTGCCCAAAACTTTACACCATACCTCAATTTCGACTCAACCAGAGAATAATATACAGGGTTCAATTGGCCTACATTATTCAAGTCTCTCAAACATCTCGACACATAACAAGCTGAGTTGATATAGTCATCATTCATATT